CAAAAGGTTCACACAGCTGCTTGGACAAAAACAGATGGGAACCTGGTGAGACTCTGACATTGATCTCCTCCTCACAGCGGATGAAGCTGGTGGATTTTGATGCCCTTCCTCTTGTTGGTTTGGCCTTTCTGAAATCTAAGACTGGGCAGAGTGGCCCTGCAGCTCCCCAATCTCTCCAGCTGATCCTCTCCCTCAATTTTCTGACCTCAGACCAAAACCAAATCAAACAGTTCAGGAGGAAAGAAAAAACCTGCTGATGGATTGCTGTCCCAGTTTCCAAGGCCAGGGAAAGAGGAAAAAGAAAACCAAAAAATAAAGCCTAAGCTAATAAAAAGCCAAGATAGCTAAGCAAAAACCAGGAATGAGTCCACATAGCACCACAGATGCCTGAGGGTGAGGCTTTGAAAAAGCCCAAACAAAAGTCCAAGGCTCCCCTCTCCCTTGACCCCCGTGAATGCTACATTAACCATTTCTGAGCATAAAGTAGATGATYAGGGTATAARGTATCATCATAAAATCACCCCAAGACAACCCTGTAGTCATGGCAGYRTGTCCCTTTACATCTCAGCTCATGCAGTTGTGCAATTACATGATACCTTCTTCTGCCTTAAGAGAAATTTCAATYCCACGTGGTTCTGATAAATACCTTGAAAAATTCCACTTAAGAGGGAAAAAAGAAAAAAACAACTTTCCCCACAGACCAGAAAGGATCTTTAAAATTTTAAACTCATTTTATTTATACAATACAGACAWAATATTATCCTCTTGCTCTTAACAAAAGAAGAAAACCAATCCACAATGTATATTAGTTAATATTTTTATTATTGTTGTTTYTCTTCAATTAGAAAACACAGCTAATGCTGCTTCCATGAACAGAGGGTAATTTGTGCTTCAGATGAATAAACCATACACTGCTGAGATATTTAATCAAAYTCTCTGACTGGTGAAATCGGTCCTGAGAGGAAAACAAAACAAAACAAAACATGCTGTACATGTTAAAATCATTAATCTCAGGTGGATTTTAAGTTTCCTGTTCTGTCTCCCCCTTCGCCAAAATCTTCCTGTTCCATCTCCCTTGCAGAGGAGAAAGTCATGCCTGTGATAGCTCTGATCTGCTCTTTAGAGCAAAGGAATGGTGTTTCACAACCCCCTGTCTGATGCAGGAAAAGGGAAATCCTTTGTCAGGGGATGGACRTCTAACAACAATGCATCCCAGGGCYGAATTTTCCTCTTGTTCCCCACATTCCCAAGTATCTCCAGACCCTCCCGAAGCAGGCAGCCCAGARCTGGGCAGCACAAGTCTAACTCACTTGGAGGATGACAACAGTTTTCTACAGGGTTCTGTTTTCTAGCAGGAAAAGGAATGGTCCCTCAGGGACTCTTTTATCACTTTYCTGACAGAGACACTGTTAATTGTGTTCAGATTTTTGCCTTCTTTCCTCACTCCCCTTCCCCTCACCAAGGGCTGCACATGAAATATTGCTAGCTGCCTGCTTTAGTATGATTAAGATACTTTCTATTTTTGTAGAATAAAATACACAATCAGATGGGAGTTTTTTATAATGAATGACRTTGCCTACCTTATGGAGAAACCTAAATGCTATTAAACTGGAAGGGGGTAAGGATGGGGGGAATTAATCAAAACACACAAAACCAGACAGACATATACAGGGTCTAAAATATCAGATTTGGAAATAGCATTAAGTTTGAACTGTTTTATTGAATCATGGATAATTTTTTCAAATTTATAAATRATACTAAACCACCAACGCAATACTCATAAAGAAGCTTGGCTGTTTCYCTCAGGGGCAATAGTACAAGACTTTGAAATAATGGTATTTGTGGGAATAAATCAGATGTATTTTCCCAGCTAGTGTAGATCAACAGTGATGTGTAGTAGGACATGGAATTGGGCCAAATAATATCAGCTGTTGGGATGTGGTAAGACACGCTGCAAGAAAGGGAACTACAGCATCACCTGACATTCACAGTAAATAAAGCCATTTTCTTCAGTAGCTGAGAGATGTTAAGTGTTTCAGAGCAAAGCCTTAAAAACTGGTTGCTGAAGGCCTGGGGAAGGGAAGGAGTGATATATTCTCCTTGCAAAATTGGTTCGTGACAAATGCTCTCCCAAATACCTTTGAGACCCCACATGAAAAAAAAAAAAAAAAAAAAAAAAAAAAGAAAAAAGAAAAAAAAACCAGAATAGAAACATAGAATGGTCTGGGTTGGAATGGATCTTGAAAGTCATCCAGTTCCAAGCCCTGCCATGGGCAGGGACACATTGCTCTAGACTGCACAAATAACCTGGCAGTTCTATTTTGGGTCCCTGTTGTATCAAGAATTGAAATTGAGAGAAGGGAAACCTTTTTCTTCTGGCCTCTCTTCTGTGCTTTGCTGCTGATGCAAGGAGTGAAGCATCAGGGACAGGCTGTAAGGAGAAAGATGCACCATGAGCTGTTCCACCAGTATGGCCCTGGGTTATAGGTACTGTCTTTATTCCTAGTTTGTATTACAAGGAAAAGAAAGCAGGAAGCACTGTCTACCGCTCATAGAAAAACACTTTCTGAAAAATTGGAAGATGTCAGAGCATCAAGAGGGAGATCATAGAATCACAGAATGGATCGGCATAGAAGGGACCTTAGAGCTCATCTTGTTGCACACCCCTGCCTTGGGCAAGAATACCTTCCACTAAATCAGATTGCTCCAAGCCCATCTAACCTGGGTTTGGACATTTCCACGGCTGGGGCATCCTGGCAACCTGTGCCAGGGCCATACCACCCTCACAGAGAGGAATTTCTTCCTAACATCTAATCTAAACATACCTTATTTCAGTTCCAAGTCATCAAACTGTTGAGATGACCCTGATTTGCTGAATGAAGCAGGGGTGTATGAAAAGGGAGGCTGCAGTTTGTCAGACCTTGTGCATGACTCTCACCTTGAAAAGGCTCATCACCCTGGGCATACTGCTAATACAGTATGCAGCTGGTCCAGAGAAGGGCCTTGRAACTTAGAAGTTATGGCAAAAGCAGTGTAACACTGTTAATTAATAGACTAAAAGCCTAAAACATGGGCTAGGGTCACACAGACTCTTTTCTCAAAGAAGCAAAATTCAGATTAAGCCCATGATGGATTATCTAGAGGAGCCAGCAGAGATTTTGAACCTGGATACCCCAAAGTGCAAAGCTCCAAACAATTCAGTCATTTCAGGTCAGCATCTTCAGTAAACATCTGTGGCTTGAGGTGAGAAAGCATGAGGTACTGCTGTGGCTAAAGATCTGCTGTGGGTTCATTTCCCATCTAAAGGACCTGCAGATGAATAATTGATTTACTCCTTTTAATGCCAGGTGATGATTTCTTCTAACAGTAGAAAGCCAATCAAGGATCACAGGTCTGACATGGGAGGAGTGAAATGCAGTTGAAAACAATGTATCTTTAGAGCATTTCTTCCTTTTCATTATTTTTTTTTTTTTTACCAAGCAGAAAGACTCATGACATCAGCAAGGGAGCAAGAAAATGAGTTTATAAGAATGGCATTGAAATGCTCAATTTTTTCTTCAGTCAGAACATCCACACTTTGTTGGCTTCATCAGAAACTGGAATTAAAAATAAAATTCCTTAAAAGAATGAGAGTAGACAGTTTCTTTACGTATCAAATGAAGCCAAATTCTGGCATTGGAGAGSAGTGGGATTTGTGCCACCAGCCTGTCTGCATTCAGCCTAAAGACACCCACCACTCATCACATCACACCACAGAGATGTTTTAGTCCACTAGCTTTTATGGGGTGACAATAACACAAACCACTGACAAACTACCAAAGGCCTCTTTTTGCCTTCTCATGACTGGGGGAGGGAAGGAGGCAAGGAGATTAAACCCATTACAGCAAAGCAAAGTAGCTGAAGAGAGCAAAATATCTCAAATTTTGTTCTTATAACACATGATGCTTTTCTCTTCCAACTCCCCAGGGCTGCTCACACACATGTGAGAGGCAGTTGCCCCCTAGAGAGTGGCCAAGTGGGGAAAACAAAATAGAGGATTTGGAGAAAGATTGTGGTGTTACTTACACACTTCCCCCTAGGAAAGTGCCAGAGTCCCTCCACATTTGTGTAGGAGTGATTTTATGCTGCTTACAGCATTTTGCATGGGGATGGGATGGCCAAGAATGATGTAAAGGACATCAGAGCATCTGCTGCCTTCTGTTTCTGGAGCAGCATCCTTCCCCAATGTAATCTTTCATAACCAGTACACAGGGCTAGACGACCATTGGGGAAAAAAAAAAAAAAAAAAAAGCAAAGAAGGGAATCCAGGCTAAGCTAAAAGGTTCCCTGCACAGCAACTCCTGTCCATGTGCAGAAGCCAACCACCCATGACGTGAGAGCTATTAGTCCTTTTGTTATTAAGCTCCTCAGGGGCATTTGGAAATTTTGCAATGAGAGTGATCGCTGATTAAAAAACCAAAAGAGCAATGGTGACTCTTCTTTTCTCCAAGTGTTCTGTTTCATTGTCCTGGCAGTATCTTGGCTAATTCTGCTCAAAATAAGAGGCTGGGGAGGCAGGGAATAAAGGAACTTACCTATCCTATGCCAGTGAGYGCCTCAACCATAACCTTTTCCCATTCTTGGAAGGAAAATTGCTTTCCAAGCAGGAGAGTGAAACATAATAATCTAAAATTTTGCTGTTGAACCAGTAACTTCAGCATTTATTTCAATACTATTGTTAATGCTTGTTTATAATACAATCATATATTTATGTAAGAAGTAAAGTAGACAAAAGCATGAGATATAAATATTTCTGTATATCCGCATACAAAAGAAAATATGTATAGCCACAGACAGTGGTTCTCTGCTGTGGCAGGGCAGGGCCACATGAAGATCTGACAATGTTCCCATTCTTTCCTGCCATGAATAGCTGCTGCCTTCCATGGCTGAACTCCCTACAGCCAGGACCACTCTGCCCTCTGCAGTTTCTTGGGGTTGCACCAATAGTTTTGTGGGGGAAAAACAGCCAGTGGCGTATTTCCCCAAGGACTTGATGGGCCAGTGTGGAAGAATGTCAGTGACTAAGGGTACCACACCCAAAGGGCAAAGAGATAGAGAGCAGAAGCTTGCTTTTTTATTTTACTTTCCCATCCCACTGGACTTTGAGTTCACTTTGCTATTTTATCCTAATGGCTCTACCACTGTCYTGTGGACCCCATAAAGTCCTTCTTAGCCTACCCTAATCTCACTGGCTGCAGGATTCCAGGGGATTCTTTTTCATGGCTGAATTTTGTCCATCCTGGACAAATCAAGGACATATTTTCCTTCAGCAATAAATTCAAAGTCACAGACCTGTGTAAAAGAAAGATTAAAATTAGTGTTTAATTTCAGGGGATTCACCTGAAATCTTTCCACTTTTATCATTCAGAATGGATGATTCCCTGCTAAAAATTAAGTCTTTGGCAACAAAGGCAGTCATTGCTGAAAAAAATGCAGCATTTTGCCTTCTGGGATGGTCCTAATGGAGACTCAGTACCTGTGTTAGAAGGCGTAGGCAGGTGTGAGCCTTAGCTATTGTCAAACAAAAGTTGCTTTTCTTCCCCCAGGGGAAGTTTATATATTTGTTTCTCAGAATACTAAGGCACTTGAAGGCTGGACATCATTGGCAACCATAGGAAATATTTTGGAAGAAGATACCATCCCAAATGAGGTTTTGTCTTCTCAGAGAGCATTTTATTGGTAGGGGCAAACACTTGTGGGTTTGTTSCTTCTTGGGAAGTAATTTTACGTTCTTATTTTTACTGGTGTGATTGCTGCTTTTTCCCCCTACCATCTCTCCTCAAGTTTGTGTCTTTACAAGATAAATGATGTCTAGTCAAGGAAATGTTTTTTCTGAATAGTTCTGGGGTCCYGCTGCCATCTCAGCTCCCAGCTGGGCAGAGGAAGGTTTTCATTTGCACACGTATCTCTCGACAGTCCTCTCACACTTTTTACAGGTCACGTAGCAGCACCAGTGGTATTTGCAGTGRCAACGCTCCACCACTTTGTCCATGTAGGGATTGTAGCCTCTGCCACAGCACATCAAGTCGCAGCTGTCACTCCCATTGGAAGTCTTGTTGCATTGCCTGGAAGAGGGAAAATGCTGTGAGTGAGTGTAAATTCCTGCAGGGATTCCCAAAACACTGCCCTGCAGTGTTGCTGGGTCTGGCAGCTCTGCAAGACACTGGGTGAAACCAGCACAGCAAACACCCAGTCAACGCCCCCTGCACCTGCAAGAGTGGCAGGGAAATCCCTGTGCTGCACTCACATGAGCTGCTGTAACACCCAAAACAACATTAAATTCCAGTTCTGACTCTCAGAATGYTTGGCAGCATTCAGGCAAACCCGTCAGCTGGGCCAGGCTGCTCCCATACAGGCAGACAAGTAAAGTTATCACGATACCTACACAACAAAAACTGATCATTCCAAGCAATCTGTGCTCCCAGGCAGGCTCCAAAACTGTCTGAAAGGAGCTGGAAGGTGATGACACCCTAAAGAACAAACACTGGTATTTGCCCACTACTGCCTAACCTGAAAAGGACAGAGGAGGAACCCTGCAGCCAGCTACTATTTGCACAGACTCCATGCCAAAGGATCCCAGGCTGGGAAAAATCCAGAGCAGGCTCAGCCACTATGCAGCACTGACCCTATCAGGTCAATCACAACCAGTGCTAGCAAGGCTGGACTCTACACGTTTTTCCCTTTGATTGTCTCCCAGCACAGCATGAGCAGCTGTTGGCCCCACAACACCCCAAGTCCTGACCCAGGAGAAGGAAGCATGACAGGAGAACAGGGTATGATGACAAGTCACCAAAATATCACACAGACTTTCACTGCTTGTTTTGCTTCTGCTTTTAATTAAAGCCAGACTCAATGGGATAAGTCAGCTATGGTGTTGGGTTCCCTCATTTTGTCTGCCTGCCAATGAATGGCTTGAGGCTTCCAGAAGCAACTCATGAATTGAGGAATCTCTTTCAGTTATCCATTGATCACCATTTCACAGCTGTCCTCAAAAACTATCTATCCCAATTTCTAAAATATCCTAAACTGGGTCATTGTACATAGAAATGCACCAGACATTGACTTTTGAACGACATTAACCATGTCCTAGAGACACCGTTTCTCTGTAGACTGTGAAGATAACCAAGAGTGGATGGAAATGTCCATGTTTGGTCAGATGTTTGCACCTTTTGGTATATACCCAACACTATGGGGCTGTGAACTTGATGGAGTTTTGAAACTACTTCAAGAGAAGTGGTTCATCAAGTGGGGTAATTGTTGACATCTCTCCTAAATCTTTTTCTGTGTAGTTGTTTTGGACAGAAACACTCTAAGGAGTGTGAGATGAACCCTTGAGCTAAGCAGCTATTAACAGATGAAAACTGATCCACGAGATTTATAGGAATTGCTCATGAATTAATGTTTTAGGAGAAATTATGGGATTAATGAAGTGTTGAGATTTTGTTCTTGCTCTTCCTTCATTTTTTTCTGCCTTCTGTTTGTTATTCTGAATCACATTCCTGTCAAAGCTCAGTGTTTAAAGGCCCCCCACCCCAACTTGCTGTTATTTGGGAGTGTGTGTAAACATTTACAAACCTTTGAAAGACTCTACTGAAGCCAAAAGTGTGTGGCCACACCAAGCATATTTGTGTCACGCTGAACCAAAGGCCTTGTTAGTGCCCCTGTGAGCTGGGGCCCCTCCACAAGGAAACCTCCAAATARCTCCTCATAAATGTATTAGTAAATGCATTAAATATTCAGAGCAAAGGTTCAAATACAGGCATGCTGACATTAGAGGAGGGGAGGGTATTTGTCAGCTTTGCTAGTGGATGGAAAGTTTGTTGCCCAAAGGTTCACCCAGGGAGGATGGGGAGGTGGCAGAAGCATGGCAAGGGATGTGCAGTRCATCCATGTCACTTCATGCTGGGARCYCACTAAAATGGCAAARAAAAGGARTACRGRTCCACTCTGACTCCAGCTCACCACTGGGGACATTCACTCCCCAAATACATAGAGCACAAAACAGTGATTTACACCATTCAAACAGAGAGCAAAACTCTTCTACCTGCTGTATTGGGAATCTGGGATTCTCCCTTTCCCTCCATCCACTCCTGTGTTTTGCAAAAAAAAAAAAAAAAAAAAAAAAAGTGAATCTAGTAGGAGATACGCCTTTCTATATACCTTGCCCATTCCCCACAGCCTGAAACAAAGAAAAAAACAAACCAAAATCTTATTTAAAAAATCCTCAAGCTTCCCTCAGTTTGGTATCAGGAAACATTCTGGAATGGAAGGGTTGAATAGCCAAAACAAGGCTTTTGACCACATCCTAAACCTATATGGGCTACTAGAAAACTTTCCTGACTATGCCACTAAGCAGAGATTTTGTTTTCTGTTTTAAAGCATAGGCCTGGGTATGAATTATATTCATGCTTCATTAAACAAGATGAAACAGAGGGAGAACACAAAGGAGTCCAAAGACCAGAGTTYACCCATAGAAGCTGCTCTGAGCATCTGCTTTCAGAGCCTATGGCTGTGATCTCACCAGGCTCCTGCTGATGGGTTAAGTTCAATCTCATTTGTTTTGGGCCTGGTCCAGCACAATTACAGCAACTCCCAAGTTGCTCTCCTCCTGAGCCTCAGAGAGCAAATATGAAAGCATCTTCACACAACACTGTAACCTCTGGAATAACTTGGAAGACTGCTGAGAAATGATGCTTCGGTCATAATCCCAGCCAAAGTTCTGGCTCAGGAACGGGCTTTCACATTGTCACAGTGCTTTTTCCTTTGTTAAAAAGRGAGAAGGTCAGCACTGCTGASTAAACAAATCCMAAATTTGCCTGTCMAAAATCTCCCCTTTCCAGCCCTCATTTGCAGAAGCACTGCGATACACCATACAGACTCATCATGGGGGTGGCTCCTCAGCAGAGGTGGTGAAGGACATCCCAGTACATCTCAGAGCCTTCCCCCAGATGGAGAGTGGTAATTTTAGCTTTAAAAACTATGGGGAGATCATAGAATTATTTTGGTCAGAGAAGACCTCTGAGATCCATGAAGTCCAATTCAACAATGCCACACAATTTCATTGCATTTCACTGTCCCAACAGCAGATGGAAATATAAAATTCTTTTTGGTTGCACAGCTGTCACCTGGCATCCAAACTGAGGCCAGCTCTGTACTGTCACCCACAGTTATGATATATGATGACAGGAACAAGATATCCACTGGAACCTCACTCCATCAGTCCTATCGATAAGGGTTTTTTTACAAGGATATAAAAGAAGTCATGCTGGGGCACAGCAACTGCCTTCCTGGCCCAGTGCATCTCCCAATGGATGAGTGAGATGCTGTTACAGGAGTAGAACACAAATCTAAGCACTTTCTCTGTAGTTCTTTTGTTTTGGGGTGATTTTTTGATATTACTGTATTCCTGATAGTCTGCTTCATGCCCAGAAATGKGTCCTAYAGCTTTCAGGCATGCCTGGGGGATGGGCAGGAGCTGAGGGAACTCTGGGCTTTGTTCAAGCTCTCCCTCTCCCTTGTGCTTGGYTTGCTGTGCAGATCAGAGGCTACATTGCTGCGTTTAGCCAGCTTGGTTTTTGTTAGCTTAGGCAAGRAGWTTTTCCCTGGACTGCWGTACCAATTCTTCWGCAGCTTCTGTTGTTTTTTCTTGTACTGCTTGGTTTGACTTTCAGTCTGAATCAGAGCTGGTAGGCATGGACCAGGGAGGAAGCCACAGGGACACCCCATCTCAGCCCTCAGGAGATGCTGAACCAACAAAAGAAAGGATTCTAAATCCACCAGCTTCATCTGCTGCAAGGAGGAGACCAACATCAGAGGTTCACCAGGTTCCCATCTGTTTGTCCCCCTGACATCCTCTGTGGAGTTTCCTTCCCTCCCTCAGACAAAAGGCCATCTGCTATTTTGCTCTTTCTTGTGTCATATTYGGTAGTTTTTTCCCTTCCCCTGGYAYCTTGGGWTTKTTTGTTCTGCTGTGGGCAGGTGGAGGGGCAAGKTTCTGRAGRTTCAATATCTAACAGTTATTCTTGTTTTTTCCTGTGCACTGCACATTGTTTGCCAAATAAACAGGTCATTTTTTTCACTTGCATCCACAAAAATTAATTTCATTAGCGGGAAGGGATTGCTAAAACCCTTTTATTTAGAGGAAACATTCATTGCAGAGTGTTTTCCCCTWACAACTGTCTCCAAACAAAGACACCTTTTTCTCATACATCACCAGCACCTGGGCTGTTGCATTAGGGATGATAGAAAGGATGATCCTTCCTTGACATCTCATCCCCTTGGCTATGTTATTCCCTCAGCCCTTTATGACCACAGAAAAACCATCTGCCTTCATGAACTCCAGCAGTCCCAAGTCCCAGAACACAGTACTGCTGAGTATTATTTTTTTTACCTTTTAAATCAAATTCCTATTTATTTATTCGGTGCCCCGTGCTCCAGTAATGTCAAATAATGCAGCAGTATATAAAAGAAAGAAAGAAAAAAAAATTCTATCCCTCAGGAGTTATGTAACACAAYGGACATCAAAAATACATCAAAGTCCACAGCTTCATAAAAGATTTTAAGGGCAGAATCTTTACTACTTTTAAATTGCTTTATCATTCACAAGGAATGACTGGAGACTGACTCTAAACAAGTGTGCAACAAAGAGTTATCAATAGCATATGTCAGCAAGGAGATGTCAAGGGAGATCCTGGAACCAGCCTGTATTTTCATTAAGGAGGAGGAGAGAGCAGCTTAAAAATTTGGGGATAATGCTAGGGATGAAGGAGTTGAGGACGTTTTGTGACAGTGGATTAAAATGCAGAGTAAGCAACACACTTTGAGAAAGATCCAGCTAAATGTGGAAATGTTCCCAGGGGAGCCMGAGGTGCAGTTCTCAAAGTAGAAAACAATGAAGGAACTGATTTAGAAGAGTATGTAAGAAGAGGTGTCCTCCCCTCTATAAAAGATTATTGCTACRAAAAGAGAGAAAAATGTTCTTCACATGCCAAGGAAAGAGGATAAGAAATTATTAGTCTTGTTTTAGATTATGTTTAGTTTAAATTTCAATTAAGAAAAKACTAAC